ACCCCCTAATCTAAGATGAAATTGACACAATAATTAACATATGTTTGAGTTTAACTTTAACGGGCTAGTGTACAAGTGATCCTTGAAAAACCTGTCAACTAAATTAGTCGAAATAAATCTAGATACACATAATATAAACTAAGTAAAAATCTTTTTTTTTTTTTTTTAAAAGGAAAGCTAAACAAGGTTACACATGACACATACCCGATACATACAATTATAAATGGATCTTACATAAATTAAGCAAATTTTAATGTGACAAAATTTACACGGTTTAGAAACCCCACTAGACAGGTCACATTGATAATCTTGACAATGGGTCTGCAAACACATTAGAGAATTGATCAGGAGGACAGATTGGTAACATGGAAAGTAGGAAAGAAGGAAAGTAAGAGGGATACACTTTCTATCCTTCAAGGATAGAAAGTAAGAAAGATAAACTTTTTTTTCTTTGTGTTTGGTTGAATGGATGAAAAATAAAAATGACAATTTTTTTTTTTTGGGTGCTAATTAAGATTAGGAATGACAATCGAGTTGTGTCGTATTAGATTCGTGTTAAGTCATTACGGGTTTGTGTCGAATATTAATCAAACTTAACTTAACTCATTTAACTAATTGTGTCGTGTCAATTTATGAGTTGACCTGTTTATTTTCGTATTGAGTTCGAGTCGTGTTATCGTGTTGAATTGAAATTTTTCACTCTTAGTTAAGATGAAAAAAATATATTTTTTTTAATTTAATTTTTTTTATTTTTAAATTTATATATATATAAATACATACATATTTTATCATTGTATTTCTATATGAAATTAATATATACACAATATATGTATATATAAAAAAATATATAAACAAATAAAATACATCTCAACACAAATAATTAATTTTCCATTCACTTTCCTTCCGATTTTGGAGGGATTGATTTTGATGAGTTGAAAGAAAAATTAATCCATCCACTTTTTCATCCTTTCTACTTTCCTTCCTTATCAAACATGATGTTTTATTTATTCCTCTAACTTTCCATCATTCCATTTTTCCATCGTACCAAACAGAGCATTAAAATACCATTTCTTATCCCCTTCCATTTATCCCTATCTTTCCCAATGCTTTGAAATGTGTTGAGAAGAGTGAATGTCTAACATCTCTTCTGGAAAGCCATCAAACCAGGGTGCATGCAGTTGCCCCTCGACTGAAGGATGAGAATGGCTTCAAGACAGATTTAAAGTCACCCACAGAAACTAAAATAACTGGCATAGGCCAAGATCACTACCAATATTGCTCAGAAAATCATGACAAGATCAAAATATTCCTTGGGCAAATACAAATGACCCAATTGACATTGTTTATCGCAATGGGATAGAGGCACTCAATTATTTCACATTTTCTTGATTGAAGAAAAATGCATGATGCAATACCAGAAAGCCTGAAAAGTTATAAATTAAATTATAGCAGACAAAAGACCAAAAAACTATCGAAGGCAAAAAGAAATCTCTGTCTTTGTATAAGGCAAAAAAAATATGTTCTGATTCTTTACATAATCATATCAAACATAATGGACCAAAATGAATGAAACGAAGACCATGATTATAACAGAATCATATTTAAGTTTAACAAAATTTGGTACTAAGTGAACAACTGAAATTTCATACACCAACTGCTATAGCTGCAACATCCGCTAGAAAATACAGAAAATCACCATCCATCTTTAACTGGGGAGGATTAACACTCAAGTTCAAAACCCTAAATTAACACCCAATTCAAAACCTTAGATTAATATATTGGGTGTGCCATGATGTGTGTGTATGTGACTGTGATTGGGTGTTTTGGCTAGGTTGGGGTGTGTTTGTGTTTGTTCGACTATGTGTGTGTGACTATAGGTGCGTGCGTAGAGAGGGAGGTGAGAAAGAGAGAGGGAGAGGGAGAGGGAGAAGAGCTTACCTGGGTCGGTGGGGTGGCCAGTGAAAATTGAGAGGGAATAGAGAGCTCACAAAGACGAAGAAGAGAGACGTTGATGGTGGTGGTATTGCTGACGAAGTGGCGCTGCTACTACTGGTGTTGTTGGGGTGTAACAGAGAGAGAGAAAGAGAGAGAGAGTTGCGGAGGAAGCAGAGGACGTGATTGGGTTGGTTGGGTTTGGTTAAGTTGGGTTGGATGTGATGGTTGGATTAGGTTAAGTTGAATGAGATGGATTTAGGGAGAAAATATATGGACTTTTGAATTTGAATGAGATATATTGTGAGTCTTTGGATGTTGAAGTCTTTGAACGAATAAAGACCGTATAATCAACTTATTGAAGGTCCGCTTTGTTTTATATTATAAATGTATGCCTTTGTTCGAATACCAACAACAATGGACAAAAAAGATTAATGTGAGTTGGCACAATATGATCCACTGGACAATACTAATATGGAATCTAGGACTGGATCTACAGGAGGTTACAGATTGAAAATATTTAGATTCGAGGATCTCCAGTCGTCGTCGTGGTTACATTTTTAGATTGAAAATACTTTTAATGCAATACAAAATGTATTTTAATTTAGGTGGAAACCAGAATAAATCAATAACGAAAAACTTAAAATTCCGATGGTAATGTTTTTATTCCAAAAAAATAAATCAAAGTCCATCATGAAAAAAACAAATGCAATACAAAAAATGGACAACCACAAGCATGCTGCCCATCTTAACTTTAAGAGAAAAAGAAATAAAGTATATAACTTCTTAAAAATAATGACTGATTTATATTCACTAATATTAAAATCTAATAATCAATGGTCGAAATAGAACATATTTAAGTTACTCGTGTTAATTTTTTTTCCTCATGTCAAATTTAAAATTTAACGTTAATATTTTAGTCTAAAAGCACAAGGGAGCAATATCCTAATTTCTAAATCATATGGGTCACGTGCAAAACTGCCAAACTCATAAGGGGGTAAACTAGATTTTACCCAAAATGTTATTGTTAACCGCTAGCTGTTGAAAATACTTAATGTGCAAGTATCTCATTTAGTGCATTCAAAAAAATCAATGAGTTAGTAATATTTAGTAATCATTTATGATGTAATTACATGAATGAATGTCGTTTGTACTCATGAAGACATTTATTGGATTATTTCGATGAAATAAAAAAAAAACAAATGACTTTTTTTTTAATTAAAAAAAATTGAGATACAAATATGATTTTTATCAAAAGCAGGTGGTTGACTATAATAATTCATTTTTCTTATGATATTATATGAAGTTATTATTTGCTACATTGATTTATTTGTAAACATAAGATTATATAAACAAGAAAAAAGAGAGAAGATTATTGCAAATAATTTTTTATGATGGCATGAACCATTTTTTAGTTTTGTGCTCAAAAATAATTTTTTTTAAGTGCATAAAAATCAAATTTAATAAGTTTTTTATGTATAAAAATTTAACATTAACATGACTGTTGAATAACCCTATTAAATTATCATTGTTGGCTTGCCTCGAGATCAAATCCTAATTCCGTCCTTATTTACGAGCCAAAAAGGTGTTGCCTTCTGCCAATACCATACCACACACTCGAGCCTAGGTGCGACGTAAAATTTTTTTACAATCATAGAATCACCTATCCAACCTCTACAAACCCACCTTAATATTACAACTCGAAATTATAATATCATTACAATAAATAATATGTTCATCACCTTTAAATATTATCTCATATATACCGTGATTTAATTATTAAATATTTCATAAATTTAATGAGAATCATTAATTTAATTCACAAATACAGTGTTTAGCGTTGTAGTTACCGTTCAAACACCTTTCTTAGCTTTTTATTCTTCCTAGTAACTAAAGTTGTCATGGTTAGGGGTGTTTAAATTTTTGATTAACCGTAATTTTCTACTATATTCGACTCTACCCGACCCTATTGAAAGGCCAGTCNGGGTGTTTAAATTTTTGATTAACCGTAATTTTCTACTATATTCGACTCTACCCGACCCTATTGAAAGGCCAGTCGATTAAATCGGGTAAAAATATAAAAGAGTTTTTAATCTTTTGATTAAATCAGGTAGGAATGCGATACTCATTAATTTTCGTATTCTAACCCTATCCTACCCACATTAATTAATTTATATATATATATAAATTAAAAACCCAAATTCACTAACCCTATCTTCTGAGCTCTTTAGTCTTCATCGCCTCCATCACCTCTCCCAGATACTCTCTCTCGTTGTCAATCTCTGGCTCTCTCTCTACCTCAATTGATTGTTTGGGCGTGATTTGGTTGTTTAGAGTCGACGTAAGAAAGGTGAAAAATAGAGGNCTGGCTCTCTCTCTACCTCAATTGATTGTTTGGGCGTGATTTGGTTGTTTAGAGTCGACGTAAGAAAGGTGAAAAATAGAGGGATTAAACTTGATGTTTGTTGCTTTGATAAATTGGTCTTGTAGTTTAAGAATTTGTTCATGATTATTGACTTGGTAAATTGGTCTTCTTTTATGATTTCTTTAAGAATTTGTTTCATCTGTTTTTTTTTTTTCATAATTTCTTTAACTTTGGTTAACTGTTCTTCTTTTGTTTCTCCATTTTCGGTCGCCTGTTTTTCTTCTTAAATTACATACTTGTGTGTATAATTTGTATTGAATGTCTCATTAAATTACATATTTGTATGTGTGCTTTGGACTGACTATTACTTTAGTTTAATGCTCAAAGTTGCTGAATAGTTTACTGAACAATTTAGAAGTTAACTCATGTTTGTTGATTGTTGTTATAATTATTTTAAGTTTTAGTGATATTGATTTATTGTGTTATTAAATTGGTACATGTTATTTAATTGAATTATTAAAATAATTAAAAAATTAATAACTACAAAAATATTTACTTAATTTTCTATCCGATTTTTTATCCAATTAATTTGGATGGCAATCGAATATGAATATCATATTTGATGAGATTGGAATGGATAAGAGAAAAATTATTCTATACAGGTAGAATGACAAAAGACCATAGGATGAACACCAATGACTCGTGTGCACCACATCTGACATACTGTCGCAGAGGTTTCATAAAAAAGACAGTCACACAAGAGAGTAAATCGCTAGGGCCCCTCTGTCCAGAACTAAAGAGAGCCAGACCATGGAAGAATCTTCAGATGAGATCCGCTCCCCTCTAAGTAAGTCTCTTTAATCTCCAAATCTTGCTTTGATTCAATCTTTTCTTCTTCTTCTTCTTCTTCTTCTTCCATAACAATCATTCTTTGCAGTACCCAAAGTTGAGAAAAATGGAGATGATGATAGCCCTCCTTCAACCTCACAATCCGAAATCAAAGAAGAGCTTGAACCGGAGGAAGAAAACTCGCCAATCGAACAGGTGGCTCTCACCGTACCCACCACCGACGACCCTTCCCTCCCAGTCCTCACCTTCCGAATGTGGGTCTTGGGCACCCTTTCATGCGTCCTCTTATCTTTCCTCAACCAGTTTTTCTGGTACCGTACAGAGCCTCTAACCATCACGGCCATCTCAGCTCAGATCGCCGTTGTCCCTCTTGGGCAACTAATGGCTGCTAAGATAACAGACCGTGTGTTCTTCAAGGGTACTAGCTGGGAATTCACGTTAAACCCAGGTCCATTCAATGTTAAGGAACATGTCCTTATCACCATCTTTGCCAACTCTGGTGCTGGCACAGTCTATGCCGTTCATGTGATTACTGCTGTCAAGGTCTTATATAAGAAGCACATCACCTTTTTTGTGTCCTTGATCGTGGTCATAACAACCCAGGTTAGTCGGAAATAATAAGTATTGTATGGTTCATTCATTCTGAATCATTCTAGTGTGGTTTTTGATGATATGGTTTGAATAGTAGGTGTTGGGGTTTGGATGGGCTGGTATATTCAGAAGATACCTCGTGGAGCCAGCAGCTATGTGGTGGCCAGCCAATCTTGTGCAAGTATCATTGTTCAGGTAATTAAGTTCATACATGTGTGGATGTGGACATCTCTGGTCTATAACTAGCCACGAACAACACGATCACTGACAAAAAAACGAACAAGATGAGTTCTCGAAAATACACCGGATGGTATCGGCCGAATACTCACTCCGATACTCAAAACTCGGTTAATTTGGCTGATGGGAGCTTAGGAATTTAGAGTTTTGAGGTGTACCTTTTGTCTGGCGTCTATACCACAAGTCGATTATTTGGTATATATGCACAGTAATACTATGCTTACCAACTCAAAGCATTTTTTTGACAAAAAAATTTAGTGTACATAACATTATTTCTCATGTATGCATGTGATGTTAGGATGTGGGTTTTGCGTATAAGTAAATCGTTGCGTGTGATAGGCATATTTGCCCACCAAAAGTAGAGTGGTTGACTGATTAGGTGAGCATGCAGACTGTATAGGTGGGTGAGCTTGGAGGCTNGAGAGAGAGAGAGAGGGAGAGAGGAGGAGAGAGAGAGAGGGAGACAGTATAAATTAATCATATTGCGTCAGAAAGAATTTCGATTGGTCCTGGTTATAGAAACCCAAAAAAATGGAAATCCCGAAAATTAGTAAAATACAAATTGTCGGATTTGTCCTCATTTTTAGACTGTAATTACGATAATGACATCACCATGGCCCTGTCCACCTTTATAACTTCTTAGGGGAAATTATGTTTTATATCCTCCAATTATGCATTTGATTTCATTTTATACCAGATAAATATGAGTCAAATCTACATAAAAATGGAAACAAAGTCGTATAACCAAAAATGTCTATAACAAATAAATCAACGTAGCTATTTTGATGACATAAACTGCAACATTGGAGTCAATTTAGTAAAATAATCACCCCCAACTAAGGCATCTGACAATTTTTCAAAGGAAAAGATTTTTGAAAAGTAATCAAAATAGTAATAGGGATGAATTATAAATTCAAACATTATAAATTCAAATCTTGACAATCACTTGAGGTTAAGCGACGAGAGATTTAAAATTCCTCATCAATACTCTAATCTCGGCATGAATGGTCTGCCTTTGACCGGACTAAAGAGGAGATTAATCGAAATGTGCATAAATTGGTCTGAATATTTTTGACGGTTGAATAAAAAATATAATAATAATTCAAAGGAAAAATAGAAGACAATTGGAAACTTTACTAGCCAAAAAAAATAATGTATCCATCTTTTATCCAAATTGGATTGTACTTTACGACATTGCATTGACATTTTGACAAGGTGTGAAAACTAGTAGTTAACGAAAAGTACAATATTTCGTGCAAAAATATTCAAATTCGAATGCATTGACAATATTTTTTATTTTAATTTTTTACAATATTTGTTTTGTTAATTTAGCCTTTAGAATTCACCCACTACTTAAATAACTAATGAAAAAGCATCGCGTATGTGACTTGTAATTGATTTTACTAGTATTTATGTTGTGGTGCTTACAAAACAAAGTGTGTATACATAGATTACAATATGTTAGGTAATACTCCATCGTGAATATCAAATGAATATCTCCTAATGGTCCACACCCCATCTCTCTAGCTGGTATTGTGTTTGAACTTTGAACCCAAGTATGATGTTGTTCAAGGTAAGAGTCAACTTGTTTTGATGAAAAAGAGTATGGGATATTCCATATTCGAATTCGTTAATAATTTAGAATTTGATCCGAATAAATTAATTAAATATATTTTAACAAATTATACATAAATTTCAACTATTTTTTTAAATAATCACTTAATTTATTTACTATTTATATAAAAATATATACATAATTCGGATCGGATCATAATCGAATCGAATATAGGTACNTCCCCGATATATATTGACTATAACGGTTACACCACATTAATAGTGTTACATAAAGTTATGCAATAATATTGATATCGATACAATACCTTCATAAATTCTNTAAAGTTATGCAATAATATTGATATCGATACAATACCTTCATAAATTCTGACTTTAATTTTAAATTGAATGATTTGATAATTTTTAATTAAAAATAATAAAAAATTATTAATGTTTTGTATTTTTATTGGTTAACAATTGAAAGTGCAATACTTAAAAAAATTACTTTCGGTACCGTAATGCGACCCTAATCAGACAACACTATGGTATCGATGAAGAAATTTTGACAACGTACCTCGAAATTTTACAATTTCCGTGGGCTTTGTTACAAATTTTGTGGGTTTTTTTGTAATAAAAAATAATTGATGTTTGAATTATAAATTTTTTGAAACAAATTATAATTTTTTGCAGTAACTTACAATCGATCCTAAAAATATTCAGATCGATCCTAATATTTTTAGGATTAATTATACAAAATTGTACAAAAAATTGTAATGATCATTGACACCATTTCATTATATTTTTTTAGTATCATAGACTTCTCCCTAATCAAGTAAACTTGAACTATGGCTATCTCGCCCACGAGTGGCTCCATTCGACACCTTATATGTTAACATCACCGGGGGTTAACATGATATATCACAGCCTTGGTAAAAGTTTTGGTCTACATCACATCACATACGAACATATTAAGAAATTGGTGCAAGCATTATAATATCTATATAATATTATCACCGTTACCATTATCATCACTACCTCTACCACCATGGTTATTGTCATTCATCACAATCATCACCGTCTCTGCCCACTATCACTGTCGTCCACCTCCTCTCACCCCTACTACAAAATGATACTTAAATTTATTTATCTCTTCTATATGTTTGTGAATTGATTTGGATATGAATACAAATATATTTTTTATTTTTTATTTTTTATTATTCTGTGCCTTCAGACACAGATAATAACTAGTATATAATAAAATAACTTACAATTCAAATTTCAAAAGATAAACAAAATGATTTTTGCTATTCACGATTGAGATCGTTTTAAATTTTATTTTAAAGTTAACATAATGACTAATATTTAATACCCTAAATTTAATAGGAAAAATAGACCCCTAAAATGTGTTTGGAGTGACTTTTTAAAAGTACTTATAGAAATTATTTATCATAAATATTTTTTTAAAAAAATTGTGTTTGAAATCGCCTCACTATTATCTTTACCATCACCACCACCACTATCATTGCCACCATCGTCGCCGCCACCAGCATTGCCAACGCCACTACCATTGTCACCACCACCAGCATTGCCAACGCCACTACCATTGTCACCACCACCACCACCATCCCCTCCCATCACCATCGTCGTTGTCGCTGCCACCATCACCATACCAACATCACCAACTCCACCCCCCACCACCACCACAACCATCACCGTCTCCTACCATTACTATTGTTGCCTATCATCTCTCACTTCTATTACAACTGATACTTAAATTCATTTTATCTCTCCTCTATATTGATGATTTAATTTTGGATATGAATACAAATATATTTATTATTTATCATTTTTTATCACTCTGTGCCTTCAGGGCACAGGTAATAACTAGTCTATTAATACGGATAATAAATGAATAGATATAATAATGTCAATCATGGAATATATTTATTACATGATAAATATATTAAATTGACATAGTCATAGAAAGAGTCAGGATTTTATATTGGGTGCAAAATAGGAATAAAATTTCAAACTAATTAATCTAAAACGTTTCTAAATTTAAGAATGAGAGATATAAAAAAATCCTATAGTTGATACTACGCTACCGATCTCGGCATTTTTTTTCAATGCACACATAGGTTTAATGAACTCATCTTTCATATTGCTTCAAAATACACTATTTTGAGTAATTTTATTTTACTAATTTGTATCTAATATTGTTCAATTGTATTAAACTTAATGAAAAATAGTTATATATAACTATGCAATTTGTTTAACAAACATATTATTTTTGATTAAGACACATAGTATTAGAACATTGTCGCGTTTGCAAGTTATTCATTATAAAGGATTTTTTCTCCTTTTGGGTGGGGAAAAGAGTAGGGGACCATTAGCTTACTAAGAATAAAATAAATTAGGGCCACGCGCTACCATACAAAAACCAAAAAATCAGATTAATATCCCCTCTAATACATATTTTTATTATTTTTTTTCTTGATGTATTATTCATCATTCATGAGAGACGGGTTCATTTGTATACAATAAGACCCATCGAAATGCATGGTAGATGCCAGTGAAATTTTTTTTTGAATAAAAATATATTAAATAGAATTTCATACCCCAAAAATTAAGGGAAGCAGTGCATTAAATTGAAGAATGTCATAATGTTTTGATACCTTATATGGAGTGACAATTAAAAGGTGTGAGACAAGTGCCTCCCTACCCTTGAACGTGGCTTTGTCATTGGATAAGATCTNTGAGCTCAACTCGTATTCTAAATTAGCTAAATTTGAATAATTTTTTAGGTTCATTTAAAAAAAGGGGTATAAAAGGTTCAACTTATTTATATGTAAAATAGTTAAGTTATTCGGACTCGGCTCGAGTTTTAAACGATCCAAGGTTGAACAATTTTTTAGGCTTATTTTTTTAAACAAGGTTGTCAGATTCGGACTCAAACTCGTGCAACTCGATTCAATTAACATTCCTATGCCTACTGTAGAATAGGCATGCCAATAGATCGAATTTGAATTATATTTTACATGGTTCAAACAAATAAGTTTTATTTTGATAGAGTATATTTAGCTCGAAAATAATCCGATTCAACAACTCAAACAACCTTAATTTCAACTCAATTCCATCTAATAACCAATCCATTTTACCATATAGTTATAGACATATATACAACTTGAACCGAGCATTGGTCTATGCAAAAATGAATTAGGATTAGTAATTAAAAATAATTATTTAGATATTCAACTAACAAAATTTAAACTTGAATCAAACTCAATCAATTGAACATTTGCAATAGACCGGCCTTGGTTTGTGGGCCTCACACTCCACTTGGTAATTGAATAGAAGCAGTGAGGGGTAATTTGGTAAAATTGTATCTATCAACTGATCCGCAAATAT